AATCGTTTAATGTCAAATGAATTTTATAATTCAAAATGGATCCTTACACGACGATTGTATTTCGTCGATTCAATTTCATTAGATGCAACAAATGATGCACAAAATTTGGGTATTATTCGTTTTTTGGAAAAAATTGATATTAAAATACAAATTCAGGTATGTGAAGTTTTCAGAAATTAACAGTTTTTGTCTCTTTTTTTTATTTGCAAATTTGAATCATAAGAATAATTATTGAATCAAAATTTGAATTTTTTGAAAGAATTTTTTAAATTCTCTTAAAAAATGAAAAAAGAAAAAAGAAAATAAATTGCCACTGTTCTTTTTTTTAAAATTTTCTTGGATTTTTCTCCTCTTTTTTTGAAACTTTCTCTTAAATTCTTTTAAATTCTCTTCGAAAAAAAAGAAAATAACTAAAAAAAATTTTGCTATTTTTATTTAGTCTCAAAAAGATGGCCATGCCCCCTTTTTGAGTGTGAAATTTTAAGTGATATATTTCTGTTTATTTTTCTAATACCAACTTTACTTGCTGTTTTTGCATATAAAATACAACTAATACCATTGTATGTAATTTTACATGGTAAACAGGTAAGAAAAATTCTTTTCTTTTTTTTTTCAATCAAATTTATCGCAATTTATTTGATCAATAAAATTTCGAAACATATTCCTAAAATTGAAAAAATTTGCAAAATTCCATTTTGTAAAGTTTATAAAATTATGCCTAATCGATAATATTTGACATAAAATATCTAATATTTCAAATGTTATTTATGAATGCGTTAGTCGACATTGACATTTGACCTTTGACAAAATATGAATGAATTTTTTTTCTTTTTTTTTCAGGGCGAGACATTATTATCATATATATTAATAGCAACAGTGCTTAAACTAATCAGTTTACTGCACTGCAGTGCTCATTTAATTCTTACCAAAACATTCTTTATCGATTGGGAACGACCTCATATAACTTTTAAAACAAATAATAAAACACCTATAACATCTGATATCAAAGAGGATGTGGAGATTACTCAACCTGTTATATGGTATGATATTATTTATTCAAGTTATTCAATTCCAATGATATCGGAAGTTTAATTTGTTTCAAATTAGCTCAGTGCTATTTCACTTTTCATATTTTTACTTTTTCTCATTATTTATGTAAAATAATTCTTTCTTGAAATTAATCTGATATCAGATTTTCATTAATATGATTATTTCATCTTAATGTAATACTCTTCATACTTATAGTTTTATTATTATTATTATTGTTACTATTATTGTTATTATTATTATTATTATTATTATTATTATTGTTATTATTATTATTATTATTATTATTATTATTATTATTATTATTACTATTATTATTATTATTATTATTATTATTATTATTGTTATTATTATTATTATTATTATTATTATTATTATTATTATTATTATTATTATTATTATTATTATTATTATTA